GAATTTACAGGTCTAGGCAGAGTGGGCAGCGGGCATGCAGCCTTGATGGCGCCATGGCCGGGCAGGCACATCTCTCCAGTAAGTTCGCTTTCGCCTGCTGCTGGTACAATCTCTGTGGTTGAGGAAGGTCAGCGGAACATTGTGGGGAAGACAGCCTGGTCATGTGCAGTGGTGTTGATGTCCATCGGCAATGTTTCAGGCAGATGTTTCTGATTAAATCGCCGCTTGGGGAGACTGCTTCTTCAATACTTCCCAACCTATTGCATCTCACTGTTTGTTGCCATTCAAAGGGGCTTCATCCCGCTTGCATTGATTTGTCAGTAGCCAAAACTTTCAAGCAGGACCAGGCCACAAAATGCGCATACTGGCATTATTCACGGAGGCATTCGCAAACAGGTAAAGCTGCTCGCTTACAAGAAAAGGGGTCCCTTTTTCTGTAGCCTGTCCAAGCAAATCCCAATGCCTTCACCCACTAATGCTTATTGGGATCTTTGTGGAGAAGGTCGTCCACAAAAACAGCAATCCAAGAGATTGTCAACAAGCAACATACGTATTGGTGTTTTCAACAGTAATTGCAATGGGGCACATATATTACCCCCTTTCTGTCCACTGATGGCCTGAAGGACTGCACTGTAAGTCTGCCTAATGGTAGTCCAAATGTTACTGTATCTGAGTGGTGCACATGGAAACTTCAGTAAAATTTGCCAACGTTGGGATGACGGCGCGCTTTGCACTCCCCACGTCTCTGAATTTATGCGGCGCAAAAGTGCAATTCGACGGCTCCCGCGCTGTTTGGCAACATTATTGAGACAGAAAGGTAATAGAGAGGCACCACACACCCCAGAGGTTGAAAGGCAGACGCTCCCCATGTTGCTGTCGATTCGCGGCGAAAAGATAAAACGTAGACTGACCCAGAACTGGTTGCGTGTACAGTGACATTCACTAGCAAAACAAGCAACAAATAAGACTTTTGCGAACACACATAAACACATTTCATCAAAGTTCTGCACGTTGAGCACAAAAAAATAACCCCAACCCGTAAATTTTGTGCACGTTTGAACACGTGTTATTTGGGACTTTTTTTTCCTAGTGATTGCCCTCTCGGCACAATCACGGGCTTCGGTTCACGCCAATCTGTTACAAGAATGAATCGTAGGAGGCGATCTGTACATTTGCTGTCGCTGCCTTTCCCCGAATTTGCCATCCGCGGGACCAGCGGCCTTCACCTCGCCGTTGGATTCCCGCCTTCACGTGTGTGGCCGTGAGCAAAGGTGCTTTCGAATTTGGAGCGTCGGAAGGGGCGGTCCCAGAGGCGCGGCGACACCCCGAGATGGCCCATAACGCAGGTGCAACTACCACCAGCAGAAGACAGCCTATTTGCGATGCCAATTGCGACTGCGTTTGACACAAATTGATGTCATCGCAGCCACTTTTATGCCATCGCAATCACTGTGACGGCATCGTTTTGCGTCAAAATAGCGCCGCAGTTTGCATTGCAGACATGCCGTTTTCTACCAGTGTACGCAACTCAGCTTCCCTCCGGCGGAAAGACATCCTCTGCTGTGACGGCCCACAATTCACTTCGAAAAGGCCAGCTCTTGTGCGGGCGGCACGCGGCCCATGTTAGGACCGCGAATCCTCGTATTTCATAGCCCAAAGGGCGCGACAGCATCTCATCCAATAATCCCACACCGGCATGGCCTTGGCGTCTCCAATCGCTCTTGCCACCTGGCCCCACCTACCGGCCATTCCCATATGAGAATGCATTCCTCCGCATGCATAGAAAAACTAAGACAAGCCCCAGTGCCGCACTCCCTCTGCACATGAGCGTATCTGATCAGATTCCGATCGCGATGGGAAGTTTCCTTAAGGCAGGGGCGCCGCCGCCCTCGCCAGCGCCCGCTAGCACTTCCTGCACCATAACCAGAGACCAACGGACAGGCACAAGAGGGGCAGGGGCGCCCGCACACTGCACTGTCCTGTGGGAAGCGTTCAGATAAGCAGTTGGTAATCCCAACTTGGGACATAGTGCGCGCACAGATCAGCTTTTCTGCGGAGCCTTCATCCCTAATTTATATCCATATGCCCTTGTACACATGTGCGAGGCACCGCGCCCTATACTAGCGTAAATTGGGATAAAAGTTATTGACAAAACAGGACAGGAAAAGTGCACGGTATGGGTCCGTATATACGCGTTTTGCAATGCCAATATCCATTTGTGCAGCGAACCCCCCTGTCCGGCCTTGCAGTACTGTAATCCAGAAACGCTGAGCAGCGGATGATCTGGCATCATGATGCCAGCGGGTTGGCAGCATCCGCGGTCCTCGCTAATGTCCATGACTTTGCCTCAGTAGGGGCAGGTGGCCTGCATGGCTTTTGCGTTCGGAAGGTGCTTGGCAATTGGCCCGAAATGCCCCTTGGAAGGTACGGTGACCGAGGTCGACAGTCAACGAGCAGAACGCAAAGGCGGACAGGGCTGTAGATTCACATGGCGCATGAGCACACAAATATCCGCGTAACTACACGGCGATGTAGAAAAGATACAAATTGGCATAAGTATGCATATGTTTGACCAGATATACGCGCATGTAGCAAGACCGGGTGGTGAAAGAAAGTGCATTAACATAAAGTCCGTGTGCATGAAAAAAGCTACAATGCCTTGGTGGGTCAAGCTCATTTGTTAAGAAAACCCATTGCCATGATTTTGGTAATTCAGATCATGCCCATGCACCAAGGCGAGCGCCATTTCAGCGATACCAAACGCGATGCTCTTCGTCAGGTACCGATATTATGAAGTTGCTTTATGCCAGTGTAATCGCTGTGATGGGCTACTTTGCGTCGAATCGAATGAATTTGGCACAGCCAAAATACACTGAAATTGAAAATTTAAAATACATTTCTGGCAGTGCTGTTTGCTTGCGCATTGACAATGAAGTATAGCAGTGCTTGTTAAAAGAAGGGAAACTGAATTTGGTACGAGCAGTGCCCAAAGGACGCCACTGAGGGGGACTAGTCCAGGGCGTAAGTGCTGCAAGATTATGTTAAGCAAAAATGGGCCGGAAGAGGGCACAGCGGTCTTCGTTGTGTTCAAAATACGTCCGCATACATTCTCTTCCACACCCACCATTGCAACCATTCTAGAAGCGAAGGCCTTGGCTGGTTGTCGCCGCTGGGCGCAAGTCCTTCGCACAGCGTGGCGAGCAGGGGCCTGCTAGGGCCTACGGTCCGCTAGCGTTCCATGTAGGAACAGGCGTCAGCATTTTGCTAACAGATCTTTCATGGTGCTAAGCGTTTTCCTTTGGTACTGGCCAAATTGATGTTTCTGCCTCCGTGTGATATAAATAGACGATCGGCAGACGGAGCGTCAGGCCATGTGCACTACAGAGGAAAAGGCGGAGTGTAGAGGCACGAGCTGACATAGGTTGTTGCGCTATGCGGCAGCGCATTGACGATCAGGCGCAGCTAGCAGCGGCAGTGGCCAGCGCTCCTTTCTCAATGGGGATGAGCAAAGACTTGTATGGCTGACATGGGCATGGTAAGGGTTGCCGCGGAGTGCAAAAGCACAACAGGGGCAGGAAAATCTTGCCATATTGAGTGGGGAGGGCGTTCAGCTGCATCACTGCGAGGCTCGGGACCAGATTTTCGTGTTTGTTTCGCTGGCCCAGGCGTATTGCAACAACCCAGCCAACCGACAGCAGGGCGTTCACAAATTGTGAGTCAGAAGTATGCACTAATCTTAGTACTATTGAGACATCAAATGAAGGATTGATGTCGAGAGGGAGGAGACGGGTCGGAGGTTAGTGGCCGTCCATCCTCGACAATCGGTGAAGCCTTGGCCGTTTGCCTTCCGTGAAGGCTTTTCCACCTTGCAACAATATGCCGACGCCCCCTCTCCTCCGCTGCACTGTTGCTAGCAGGCAATGCTGCTGCAAGTTGCTGGCATCGACACAAGGATTGGGCGAGTAGTGGGTGGGGTTGTGGTGACACGGGGTTGGGATTTGCGGATGGAATGTCACACGTCATCATGACAAAATAGCGATCGATCGACAGTGCTAGCCGTGTAGGTCAAGGCGGGACATTACCCGAAAGATTGGTGGACACCCGCTCCCCGAAGGGGACAATCAGGAAGCAAAATGATACTGCAAAAAAAATCACAATAAAATGAACCATCCAAGGAATGTGCTCTGCCAAGTTCTGGCAAGTGTGATGGAAAGAACCGTGGCCACATTCATCTCAGTCAGTGATGCTGCCTGATTTTGATTACAACTTCATTATTGTCAGTGTACATACGTTGAAGTGCATGTGGTAGAATAGAAACTTTGGGACCTTGGCGCGTTGATTTGTCACCTTCCTTTCTGTCGCATTTCCGTCATCACCAGGCAGTTCTTCACTTCAAATGTTGCATCACGTCGCCGGGACGTCCCACAGTCTGCTGCGCAGCACGGACCGGTCACTAAGCAACAGCGCCTGTCGCCTGGAGGCACAAATTACGACACATACCACTGCCGTGGTGAAGCCGCAAGTGAGGGCCCACTGAAACTTAGACTTCGCAGAAAAGCACGAAACGACTATCCGAACGAGTCGTTCACAATGAAGCTACAGTACATGACGATCGACATTCACATACTGTCCCGCACGCTCAAACCCATTTTCTCGAAGGCGGCCTTGCTATCCCACTCGAACAAACTACATCCTGACTACGTCTGGCAGGCGTCTCCGGCGCACCCACAGCCGTTGCAAAGCCAACTCCTGAACATCGACTCACTCATCAGGCATCATCATGCATGCCACCGTTCATTTAAACGGAACTGGGCAGCACCTCAGCCACATCCATTGGCGTCTCAGCGCACCTCTGTTCGTTGGGTGGGTCGATTCTAGCAATCCACCCCCTTTAGCTCCACCCAATAAGTTCCAGATCCAAATAATTGTTGCAGCCAAGATGTGCTGCCCCACCAATCGATCAACGCTGTTCAAAAGGGCGACGCAGGAGCCTCGTGTGACTACAGCAGTTTGCGGAAACGCACACTGTTGTTCAAGTCATCTGTTGCGCTGCTGTCCGCTGTCCCATTATAGGCAAAACCATTGCCATTGGTGCTGTCCCCTTCAGAGTCAGCGGCAACAGAGCCCATCTTTTGCGTGAGAGGCTCCAGGAGGCCCTTTACTTGCTGCAGCACTCCCCTGGCCTCTTCCAGTACCTCGTCGGAAGAAGACGAAGGAAATGGTGGATCAGTCGCAACCACAGAGTCACACATTGACCTTGGAGGTGAGCATATCAACGCATGAGCACAACATATCCAGGGAAGAGAAGAAAGATAGTACGATCTAGCAAAAGTCAGGCCCTGCAAAGCAAACGTGAGTGATAGCAATGGGATGAAATACACCCTGGCACCACGAACAGCCAGCATGTCTAGTCAATTTCGCATAACCTACAGTTGTCAGTAAGAAAATAGTTCGCCTTTCAAACTGCCGCAAAGCACCACACTGGATACAATTGGTGGATGCTAACTGACAGTGGAAGAGATTGCCTGTAGATGATCACATCGGGTCCAAGGTATCTAAAACCGCACAACTGAGGAGGTGATTGCTCTGGGGGCAAAGATCAGGTGGAAAAACCAAATGTCCACTGTTCAAAAAGAGGGCCCTTGTTGAGAGAGAGTTCAGCATTGGCCCGTTCTTTCCCTGCTCAGCAATCGGCTGGCATGAAGGAAAGCCTCCAGTCACACAAACTTAGAAATGAATCAGGCGGTTTGCACCAAGGGAATGCAGACCTGAAAGCGATTATCAAGTTCTTGCCTCCACTTGCAAAATGCTGTTCAGCCATAACATGTGAAGTTTATGTACAGTGGCCTATTCAAGCGCTGGTGCTCCTGTGCGTGCAGGCATCTTTCGGGTCTTGTCACAATCACAGATGCACATATCAGACATCCCTTCAGCAATTTGACAAGAGGATTCCTGTCCTCTATCTTGCTTAAGTTACCTTGCTGGGTCATTGTACAAGCACAGCTCGGATGTCCTGCAGCCTGCCATGTGACAGCTTTGGTTGCTGCCAGGCCTGCATGTACTCCATTGCAACTTGTAGCAACTGCACACACCCCTGACTTTCCTCCAGGGAGATGCTGGCCCTCTGGTGGGCACCAACAGTTGCAAGAATGGAGATTCTTATTTGCTTTGCATGGGCCAGTGGCGTGAAAATTCAGTTGTCAATATACTCCCAATGAGCTCACATGTGAAATACTCCTTTCTTTCCTTCTCCATCCATTCTTTGCATTGCCGGCCACACACAAGGGATGAGATAGGACATGACCAACACAGGACAAGGATGTGCAGAAGATTAGTGCTCATCCTTCCTGCATTCTGATCCTCAACACTGATAGATGCTCCTACTATTCCAGAATAGCGTGTGATGCAACATCTTGCCAAACTGATGCTGACAAATACACTGCAGGCCAATACATCCTCACACAGACCCACCTTGTCAATCTCGGCCACCGTCTCCATGTCTTTCTCGGCACTGTGAATGAAACGCTGTGCCTCTAGGCTGTTGATCTCCAGCTCCAACTTGGACACTATCCCCGAGACCTCCTTGAATTTCCTCTTCCTCTCCAGCTCCAACTCGTCTTGGGCTTGCTGCATCATGCCCTTGACTCTCTCACGAATAGGAGCATTGACCTGCGGGAGACAACCCAATTGGCTACGCTTGTCAAACACTGGCCCAATCCACCTGCAAGCTGCACAATGAAAGCCAGACCGCACATGGATGTCCAATCCAATGGCATGCATCGAGAGGTAATGCCTCAAAACCTGGCACACTCACAGGTTTCGCAGAATGTGTATTTGAATAACAATGGCTGGCTAAATGAAACTGGTGGGAAGAATGGAGGTGTAGACAGGCAAACTGCTATGCAAAGTACTCATTGTAGAACGCTGTTGTTACAGTGTTGACGATGCCCAAACATCTCTGGCATCTGTAATCTCTAAGGCATGTGTCCACAACGAGCAGAAAGGCCATACTCCAGGACTTTGAAACCTGGGCCCTTTGCAGGATATCACTCCAAGCCTATCTTGTGAACTTGCTTGGTCAAAATTCGTGCACAAACTGGCCCACAATTCACAAATGGCTGCTTGAGGCCAGCACCGCCATGGAGTCCACCACGTATTTTTAACCTAGCTGGTGATTGTTCCTCAGAGAGACACAAGTTTATTCATTTGGCCATTCTTTACACTTACTAAACAAAGACCACTTGAAACAAGTTCAATTTTGCCATTCCCCTCCTAAAGGTCATTCTCCCGTTCGTCCACCACTGATTGGGGTGATGGCCATCATCTTCTCTCATCTAGGGGCTTGGGGGAGCTTCCTGTGCTTGCCCTCACAGCAACAAGGAGCACCTAATTCATACTTCCTCTGTCCGGAATTAAATGAACGCGTTTGTTTGACAGGCCAAGTTTACATCACGCACTTATCTATTCTTTAACACAACTTGGGAGCAACTAATAAACTCACATGTGATAATCTGGCCAAATTTTCAAGTCAAAATATTAAGTACTGATCAAATGACAGTACTCTGAATCCGCAAGATTGGGGCGGAACGGTTGGAGAATATCAAGGTCGAGGCTGGTTACCCCCAAAACCAATCCCTGGAGAGGGTGGCCTTGCGCTTGACGTTGCACACCAAGAAATTGATATCTGCTGCCAGAGGTAAAAGAGCAGGTCGGAGCCGTCCCTGGGACGAGGCGAGACAGTGCAACCGGTTTAAACCACCCAATCGTCGATCCCCACCGTGGATTTCCCCGTCCAGCCAAATGCCCAGCTGGAGATAGGAAATCCGAAAAATCGGCCAAGTTCACGATCGAAGCTCCTTTCAGAAGACTCTGCCACCACTCACGGGGTGCACGAGGCTGGTAAAGCCACTGTGAACAAGTTTGGAAGGAAGGTGTTCTGCACAGGAGCAGAAAGATCGCCAGAAATGGAGGTGACAGGCGCTCCCTCCATGACAGCCTGTCAGGGCTGTTCACGACGCTTTGAAAGACGGCACCCTCCAACTTCAGATGCAAACTGCGCAGGATGCTCAAAGGCTATCTGGACAGACACTAGAGACCTCCATCAACACATCGAAGTGTTTCACCGCCAAAAGATTGGCGGGAATTCATTGCTTTGGAGAGCCGTGGCTTTGTTCCGGGCATGCCATTGCTTGTAAGCCGCGATGGAATAGATAGCCTTCAGCGCACGCAGCGACAATAGAGCATGTCTCATGATACCTGTCAATGTATTGGGAAGGATGGATCCCACACATGCCAGTGTGTCGTTGCACAAGATGGGTCGCAATCCCAGAAATCGGCGATGGTGACAAATGGATACCGGGGCCGTTTCTGTCGGCGTTCCACAGCGATGGGTGTCGATCGTTGGGCTGAAGCTTGAGTTGCGCTTGGTCAACTCTACCTTCATGGTGCTGCGGACTCCACAAGAAAGGCTGCACTCGAGAGTGGGACGTTCTTGGACACAGAACGCCACTCCCGGCCAGGCCAGCGCACCAATGCGATGGGTCAAATTATGGTCTAGGAATTGGGCGTCTTTGATGCCGTGTCCAGTTTGCTATAGCAATGCGTTGTCTACAAGAATTTGGGATCATGTGTAGCACTCGCAGGTGGTATTGCAGTCTGATTTTTAACAAAAATGACAAGGCTCGAGATAAGTGCGGCCTCTCAATGAAATGCGTTCATTTAATTCCGGACAGAGGAAGTAAGTCTGGGCCCAAAAACCAGCTCTGATCTGGCAGATCGACCTTGTAGTGCTGCCAAAAGTTACAGGGTGTTCTGCAGTCATGCCCTTAGGAATGCACTTTGTATCCACCTTGATGCTTCAGAAGCACCGTGCTGACTTTTTGTCTGAATGGCGTGGATAGTTTGTATGGGAGGATCCGTTTCAGCAACACCAAAGTTTGATGTGTTCTGGCCTGAGAACACATACCGCAAGCATTGCCAAACCTGCAATACTTGTTGGATTGACTTTGTTGCTCAACTGTACACTCCAAACTCATGGCTACAGCTCTGGATGAAATCTCAACGTAAACCAGAGTACCCATGATGGAGACGGAATGCTTCAAAGTCGTAGAGGGCGCCACTTTGCGGCAGGGGAAGTAGGTGACAGCTGAAGTACTTCAGCGTTTCGAGCAGTGGCAAATTTGCCCAGTGCTTTTGACGACCGCCCATTCTGCCCACCTTTGCTGTTTCCAGCCTCTTTTCTTGGCCAGCCTGTATGCTCTGTATCATTTGGTCTCTGTAGGTCGGCTCTTGCCACTTGCGCCTTATGGCCTCGCTGATCTTCCGGCGATGCGCCTCACTCCTTTTCTGCCTCTTCTTGGTGCCCCTCGAGCGAGGCTCCCCAGCCCGCTTTGCGGCCTTCTGTTCAGCCAACTCTCTCTGCCTCTGCCGCCTCTCCTGCCTCTGCAACAGCAACAGCAAAAATACTGAATTCAAAATAACCATTTGCTGGCCAGTTGGAGTATCAGTCTGAGTGTCAGACCAATGCTCATGCTGAGTAAGATTCCAGTCTACCAAGTCTAATATGGCAGCTAGCACTCGTCCCAATGCTTCGATTCCCCCAAAGAACTCTGCCATAGTGGAACTGACGGTGATAGCCACAAATTGTTCCTCCTGCCCATGGTCAGTGTCATCCCTGTGACACAGAAGCAATTCTGACAATTAACAATGCCCACGCCAAAGCTGCCTATTACAAAATTCAGACACTTGAAATCACACAAAGGGTTGGACTGTGATGTGACGAAATCATTCATGTGGAGACACATCAGAGCCAAAGATTGATTTGGTGCTGTTAGGTTAGGAAAACCCAGCAACATCACAGCAACCATGGGATTCTGCAACTGACTCAACTGTTCAGGGATGGAAAGCTGCTGACTTACCACCGATTGCAAGCACCTCACAAAGAGGATAATCCAATAAAAGCCAAACATTACTGGTTGACACTTTTGGCTGCCCTTGATCGCCTTGGAGGCTTCTGGGAATCAAATTCCACTTTGGTCACAAGAGCTGTTCTCGAATTTTAATGGTGATTAAGGTCACATTTCCATCAGTATGGATTGCTCTCAGAATCTGTATTATTCACTAACCAAATTGGCCCTCTTTTATCTGCACCCACATGGGTCTGCCTACCCAAAAGCGACAAAACTACTAAGGCAGCAACTGAAATACACATATTGTGTTGTCAGGAGAATCCATTCTGAAACAGAGTTTGAAACACGTCCCATGATGAATGCAGTCTCTAAAGATGCGCACTTGCCCTTACCTACCTATACACCTACCTTCAGTTTCGCTCTCTCACGAACAGTCATTTCGATGCCCAGTTCCTTGCGCATTTTGATGTGGTGTGCCTTCATTGCAGCCCTGATCTTTTCCTGAAACGATGCCGCAGAATGGCAAATTTAGGGCTACTGAGCAGTGAGCAACGCTAAAACTGGAAATCTATGAACACACTGCTCTTGGCCAAGTGACCCCAAGTCAATATGGCACAAAATCAATCCCAATACTCACTCAGTCACTATTCTCTGTATCATGTCACTCCATTCACATTCAAACACTCATGCATTGTTTTTCATGCAGAGAATAGAGTTGCACATCACAATCTGTCTCTGGAAGTGTGTGCCCATGTTAACAGGTTTCCCTACGTCTTCAGTGCATTTTCTGGTCCTTGAGTGTCCAGTCTTGCCAGTGGAGAATGATATGATTTCTGTCAAGAATACACAAGCACAGAGCTTTGCACTAGACCACTGCAGAAAGTAGGATAGTAGCTAACGTCACTATCTGCTTCAAGGTGCCATCTCTGTCCTGCCCTTCCATCCAACAATGTTGCTTCACTTTGAGTCCAAGTGATGCTACAATCAGGAATCCAAAAGCAAGAGAAAGGCCACTTCTGTTACGCTGTGTTCACAGTCAACAAAAACAAAATTTGGCATTTCATCTCGAAGTCTTATCCTTTTATGCCATTATCGAATTACCATCGCCAGGATCAATGCAGTTTTGGGAGAGAAGGTCAGGTACAGGATGCATGGCTGCACGGCTGTTCACTACTTACAGGCTGATTCCACCTGCAGCTCGCGGTTAATCCATGCTTGCTGTCGTGTCAAAGCAACTACTATTGGGTGACTACCGGATAATCACTGGGTAACCATGTTTCTTGGCTACGCACCCATCAACAGCACAATTTGCAAACCGATACAAACATGTCCAATGAGTGATACAAAAAATGATGCTGGACATTCACCCTTGCTTCAGCAGTATGTGGCTTCCTCTTCCTCCCTGCAATTTTCGCCTTCACTTCAGGTCTCTGCATTGCCTCTAAAGTCTTCAGCTTTATTTTCTCTAGCATATCTGCAAGGTTGCAACAGTACCGCAACAGGCATCATTCTTCTGTGCTCCTTTGCAATCTCTTGGTGCGGGTGGGGCGAATTCAAAGATGCCGATGTTCCATCAGTGGACATGCTCCCAGTGCACGGGGAGCATGAATCCCGACAGGAAGCTTGATGTTGCAGCACTCAATGAAAATGTACACATAGGCCACAACCAAACAAGAGGAAGTCTGGCCCTAATCAGGGTTTGGAACATCAAGCCCACATATGCCACTGTGCGTTGCATGATCGCCATTTTGGGCTTCATTGGGATCACTCATGGCAAGGGACGCGGACATCGGAGATGACGCTCATTGCGTGCTCAGCTATCTTCCAAACAAACAATAGTGCGCCATGCGCCATCCCACCTGTCGACAGCTTCATCCCCTTGTTCCACGGCACCAACCCTGTATTCCCCGCGCCTATTCGCATCCGCCTCAGCGCCTCCTTCACCGGCAGGTGCGCGTACCTGGCCGGAATCAAAACCCCATCCACCACTCGGGCCCCTTCCTCGAGTTCCGATTCCTCATCATGCCCAGCTTCGCCCGAATTTGATTCCCAATCCTCCGCTGCCTCAGATGTCGACACCTCCTCCCCGGCCCTCCTAATCGCATCCCCAGCCTCCTCGCCTCCCCTGCCCTCCGGGCCCGATCCGCCAGTCTCCAGAGATGAGGATGACGCCCTGGCGTTGGCAATCCCCACAGGAACATCCCGGAGTGGACCGCCACAAGTTAGGCTCGAAAGTGACAGTCGATGCTGGCGCACAGGGGACCGCTTGGGCTGGCCGGGCTCTGCGGGGCGACGCCCAGCCCCGCGGAGGGCGCCCACCTGCCGGTGAATCACCGCGCTGTGCAGGGGGGCGATGGCATTGGGAGGCATTGGCGATTTTGAGAGAGCGCCTTGGGGAATTTGGGGGGCAGGGTACTGCTGGGAGGCGCTCGCACGCGGCTGGGCGCCGCTCGTGTTACGGGGACCAGCCCACAGCGTAGTGTGGGGGAGCGCCAAGCCTGGGTGGACCCACAGCGCTTCTAATGCCTGTTCGATTCGGCGCAAGAGGTTCCGTTTCATCTGCATGTTATGCAAGTCAAATACAACACTGAGCGGCATTCTTAACACGATTAACGGAGATTAATGGGCGCGGGCGCGCCAGCTTTGCGATTGACGTGATAAGGGGCGCAGCACGGCGCCAGGGGCTATCGCTCCTCGCGTCAAGTGCTGCAGACCAAAACCTAGCGCGACCGCCGCCGCCAACCCGCTGCGGAAGCAAGCGCAAAGGAATGGTAAGCACAGCGGTGGGGAAAGCGAGCCGCGCGAGCCGCGCGAGCGGGGAACCGAATATTCTTCGCAAGGGCATCCCGCCCCATCGCGGCCCGCCGCCCTGGCGACCCCCGCGCATCGCCAGCTTCTCCCCCTGCGGGGGCTCGCGCTTTGTGGGTCGCCGGAGCCGGCCCGCGCTTTACTCTCGCTCGCGCCTTGCGGCGGCCTCACTCTCTCTTTTTCGGCCTTGGCCAGCGCCATCCTTCCCGGGCCCCGCACCGCATCCCAGAGCTGCATCGCGGGCCGAGTTTTTCGCCCTGTCATGCTCATCGCGCCTGGCCCAGTCTGCCCGGCTCCGCTGGCGCTCCGCCCGCCCGTCCCCGTGCGGACGGCGGTAGGCCCTTGGTTCCGGGCGCTCACCGCGCCCCCCTCGCCGTCAAGCACTTCCTGCGGTTCTGGCACCTTCAGCCGGCGCGCATCCGCTCTGTGGGCAGCACGGCTCAGTCAGGTTGGGAAGTCGGGTAGTAGTGGGGAATGTCTAAAGTGACGGGGGTCATGGCGAAGGGGCGATGCGGGAGATTGATGGGCTAGTTAAGGGAATGTCGGGTAATGAAATGGGAGTAAGGGGACCGGTAGGTTACTGGGTTAAGGATCTCAGGAACGCCAGCGGGTGGAAGGGTCCAGGTAGGTGTAGCGCGCAGTGGCGCCAAGAGGGGAAAAGAACCCCAGACCAGACTCCAAGACCCATTAAGTACTGCACCCATCTCTCGCAGTACACCGGCTGGCGACCGGCGGGTCACTCTGATCCCTGATGACTCATCCACTGCTGGATAGTCCTGTTACAGTGCCAAGTACTCCAGTACTGTGGCCTGCCTGATATTCCCAAGGATGGGATAGTTGAGAGATGCCGTTGCCAATCCAGGCACTCTCCTGGTAAAGTACTGGTGAAGTGATATACTGTAAAGGCGGTGCGCATTACAGGCGTCCCCCGCCGGGGAAGACTCCGTCCCGGAGTCGAGAGTACACAAAACAAACACGAAGACATATCACACGACACAAAGGCAGGACATGTACAACACAACCCAACCAGGGGTCCACTAGGAAAGAAATGTGCGGTCATCCACAAGAGTCTGATGCCTGATGCTGACACCTGATGGATCCCAATCAGAGGGCCACAGAACTGGCGGTCACAGTCTGTCTGTGTATCAACCCAAATCCCCAAACGAGGCCTGCATCATGGTGCCGGACGAGGGGCGCCACGGCCATGGCCGCGACCACCACCTGAACCCGAACGGCCCGTAGTGCGAGGGGTCCACCCTGCAGCTACGTCTGCATCCTGAACGCAAATGCACACTGTGTGTCAGCCTGAGAATACTCAAGTCGTCACTCGAGACCTTTTCTGACCACCTCTGCGTCGGCGACCAAGCGCAGGGCCGGATCCAGACGACTGCTGCTGCAGTTCGTAGGCCTGTAAGAGCTCATTGCAATGCGTCAGGTTCTGTAAAGGCTCCCATGTGTTGTGTTCATGGCCAAAGCCTTTCCATTTAACGAGGTATTGTGGCATCTTCTTATGCCGGGAACGGAACTGACTAATTCTTTTGTCTAGAATCCGTTCCACCTCATATTCCAGCACACCATCCAACTCCACTGGAGGAGGGGGACGAGTGAGACCTGGACCTGATTTGTATTGACTCAATACAGATACATGAAATACTGGATGGAGAGCTCGCATAGAATCGGGGAGCTCCAACTTATAAGCCACTGGGTTGATCTGTTCAATGATCCGGAAGGGTCCCAACCACAAGGGAAGTAGCTTCCTAGATCCCGGATGCCTGAGTTTTATATTTTTGCTGGAGAGCAACACCATGTCTCCAACCTGATATGCAACATCGGACCTGCGCGCATCTGCATACTGTTTTTGTCTGTTCTGCGCCGCCTGGAGGTGTTGCTTTGCATCATTGAGCACAATGTCAATCTCATTTACAAATTGCTTGACCGCTGGCAATTTGTCCTGAAGGTCCGTCTGCTGCTCATCCCTGAGTCTGCATCGTACCTCACGATGCTCCCGACTAGTCTGCAGGCCTAAGGTTGTGGGAGTCACTGGATGTCGCCCGTAGTTTAGATAAAAGGGCGTATACTTTGTGCTCCCCTGCTTTGAGTTGTTTATAGCAAACTCTACCAATGGGAGATGTAAATCCCACTGGTCCTGCTGTGGGCCAACATAGTGGCGTAACGTATCTTCTAGAATCCTGTTCATCCGCTCTGTTTGACCATCAGTTTGCGGATGGTACGCTGTACTCAGCGCCTGGTCGATCTCCAATTGCTCCATAAGGGCCTTGAAGAACTTTGATGTAAACTGTGTTCCGCGGTCTGATATCAGTGTCTCACACATACCATGATGTCTAAACACATGGTCTACAAATAGTCTAGCGGTCCCCACCGCATCGACGTCTGATGTTGTGGTGGCCATTCTTACCATCTTGGTAAGCCTATCTACAAAAACACAGATAGCGTCGTGGCCGCTTCTAGTCCTGGGTAACTGAGTGATGAAGTCTACTGAAACACTTTCCCACCGTGCATTCGGAATAGGAAGGGGTCTCAGCAAACCCTGAGGTCTCTCTGCACGATGCTTGTTCCGTTGGCAAACATCGCAAGCCTGTATGTACTTTCTGATATATTCACGCATGTTTGGCCACCAAAACGTTCGGCTAACTTGAGCCTCGGTCTTAGTGGTACCAAAGTGACCTGAGTATGGGCAATCGTGGCACTGCCTGCACACTTCTGCCCTAAGATCTGTAACGGAATCCCCCATAGGGCCTGTACCAGGGACGAAGATCTTTGACCCACGATACCAAAGATCCTCGTGCTGCGTGAGGACACCTGACTTCTGCAATCTGATACAGTCGGGGTCCTGGGCGCAGCCTACAGCCAGACGTTGAGTCAGAGGAGTGAGTGACCCTGGGGGAGCGGATGGGCGGCCCAAGGCATGCACAGTCTGAACCCCGTCCCTTGCACCGCTGGGGGCTGTCACGGCAGAATCGCACGGGATACGACTGATCGGGTCTGCTACATTCAGTCGCCCTGGCCTGTATTCCCACATGTAACGAAACTGCTGGAGATATTCTGACCAGCGAACCTGCCTCCTTCCCAACGTCTGCTGGCTATCTAAATACGTGTTTGGACAATGGTCTGTCACCAGCACCATGTCCGAGCCTTCTAGGTAGCATCGCCAGACCCGAAGTGCATGCACCACACCTAGAAGCTCTTTTTCTGTTACTGAATAATTAAGCTCTGCTTGACTAAGCTTCCTGCTTTCAAATGCCAGAGGGTGCTTGTCTTGTAGTAGGACAGCCCCTATTGCTGTGTCACTGGCATCTGCCACTACCTCGAAAGGTTTATCAAATACCGGCATACGCAATACTGGTGCGTGTGTCAGGTCCTGTTTCACACCTTTGAATGCTTCCTCACAAGCGTCTGTCCACTCAAAAGCGTAGCCTGCCTTTGTTAAATCTGTTAATGGTGCTACTCTCTTTGAGTAACCCTGCATGAATTTCCGAAAGTAATTTGCTAATCCCAAGAACTGGCGTACTCCCCGCACGTCCGTGGGCCTTGGCCAATTATTGACCACCTGTGTCTTTTCGGGATTCACGCGAATACCATCTGCTGATATGATATGTCCCAAGTACTTGATTGAAGTCTGATTAAAGTGGCACTTATGCAAACGTGCATAAAACTTTTGTGCCCTCAGGACCTCGAGGACCTGCCTGATATGGGTTAAATGCTCTTCTGCATTCCTGGAAAAGATTAAAATATCGTCCAGATATACAAGGACGAACTTCCCAATATAGGGCCTGAATATATCATTCATAACGCGCTGAAATATTGCAGGCGCGTTTGTGAGACCGAATGGGAGCACTTTAAATTCATAGAGTCCCATCGGTGTCTTAAAGGCTGTTTTTTCACAGTCTGATTCCTGTATTCTGATCTGATAGTACCCCTGCATCAAGTCCACAGCGCTAAATACTTTAGCATTGCGAAGTTGATCCAGGAGGTCATCCACCCTTGGAATTGGGTATTGGTTTCTGATAGTTGCCTTGTTTAAGGCCCTGTAGTCTATACACATTCTAAATGTTCCGTTGGGTTTCCTGACAAATAAGACAGGAGCCCCAAACGGACTGCTGCTTGGCTCTATCAGCCCTCTTTTGAGTAAATACTCAACCTGCTCCCGCATTTCTTCTAGCTCTGCAGGACTATATCTAAACATTGGCCTGTTCAAAGGTCTGGTACCTTCCTGCAATGGTATGGATATAGCTGCTCCTCTATTTGGTGGTAATCCTGGAATACTGTCTGGGAACACATCAGAGTAATCGTCCAACAATGCTTTCAGGCACTGAGGATCAACCTGGTATTCTGTGGTTTTATCACTGACCGGTTCTGGAGGCGGAGGTGGGCCCATTTCGGAGTCCGCATCTGGTTCCGGTCCCTCACGCTCTAATGTTCTAACCATCACAAAACAAGATGGGCAACCTTTTCGGACACTGCGCCGAACCTGAATGTGGGTTAGCAACTTTGAGTTAACCCGGTGCTCAACACGTGCCTCAAGGTTTGTTTGTAATACCACA